TGCTGAACCAGGGACGGGAAGGATAGTAGCAACTGCACAGAAAACATTTTCATTGAAGAAGTATCTCTCCTTTGATACTTCAGAAATGAAAATTGATATTCATAGCCACATTCTACCTAAGGAATGGCCTGACCTAAAAAAGGTAATAAGAGTGTAGATATTCAGTGCTGTATGTTATCAGCGATCATTTCTACCAATGTAATTTTTAAAAGAACAATGAATGAAAGATTCTGTTATAAATATCTCTAGGGTTTTGTCTAATTTGATTTTTTTTTCAGATAGCAGATATTTGGATTGCATTACTTTTAAAAGCCAGAGTCCCAGTCAGAAAGGGGTGGAAAATAGGGTTCTATTGCCCACTCTTCATTTTGAAGCAATTCTTAGATTTTTGCTTGGGTTTTTGTAAGACCTAAAAATTTAAAATGATAAGGTATAAATTCCACTTTCTTGGTAAAACCAGACCTGTCAGATTCCCAAATGGAACACTTTTGATAAGCAGATATTAAACAAGATCAATGTTAACTAAGATAATATTCAGTCACATCTTATCCCCACAGACATGAATTTCATTAACTTCTATATGAGTGGGGTCACTCTAAGTACAGTTAATTGGTGATGATCATCATCATTTTACTAATATCTGTGGGGCTGTGGGTTTTTTTTTCAGTTACAGGAAAGAGTGTATTGTATTAAAAATACAAAATATCGGTTGTCAGAACACTGAAACGCTACATCAACTTATCTTTGAATCTTTGCATGTTATTATTCAATGAGATATATTTATTCTTGTCAGTAATTATTTTCATTATGCTGTGAAAAGTATCTGGGAATGGAAAGTGTCATGTAGGTCTTCATGTAATGAATCCTTTTCTTATTTCAGATTATCAAAATACGAATAATTATCTCATTCTGAATTAGATTTTAGAGTTATTGCCTAAATAGTGAAAATCATAGTTCAGTATAGACATGTCTGATCACTTTTTAACTCATCAAGGATCACATCTCCAATGCTACAGGTGGTACTGAAAAAGATCACACAAAACAATATTTTCATATAGTTCATGCACATATATGTACAAACTTATTTGCCATTTAAAATTGCTTTCATACTTCCAGGATAGCTATTCTTTATCACTCTTTACTGTTTCCATTCATAATTAAAAAATCAGAGTAGAAAAGAGAAGACCTACATTGATTTTTCTTTCCTTATTGTAATCTGTGTTGTTTGTACTTTGAATGAGCATTCCCTGTGTCTGACAGTAATATGGGACCATTTGATTTCATTGTGCTTGTCTTTGACCACAAAAAAATACCAGTATTTCAGCCATGCTCATAGGCATCTGATGCAGTCACTGAAACTGTTTAAACCTGTACATTTATTTAACTTCATTGTTTTGAGGTTGATGGTGGCAAATTCTCAGATGAGTGTTTCATATATATTAGCTCTGTGTTTCTGTGATTTTAAAAATTACAATCCAGTACCAGTTTAATATTAGCCAGAGAGCAGCTGGAAAATGTAAACAGCATATTAGAAAAAAGTCTTAAGAAAACCTGGCATTAAGAACCTACATAGGATTATTTCTTCATTAGTAGTGAAAAATAACATCATTATGCATAAGACCTCCTGGAAAGGAATGTTTCCTCACTTACCTAGGAAGGTCTTTTCCTATTTAAACTTCCTATTTGCAATAATAAGAGCTCCTCAATGAAAAACACATGTACACTGGATAATGTAAGTGAGATGACAGGTACTTTTTAGAACAATTAAGGCTGTTTGAAATGGATAGGAGTTTTAATATCCAGGCTGTAAAGACAAGTGGCTCTTGCTTGTTTCAAATTTTGTTGTCTTTGTGCAATAAACCTATTAAAACACCTATAAAATTCCATCGTTCTGATTTTACATTATTTTAATTTCTTTTTGTCTGTATATGCTTTAAAATGGCAGTAAATGCACTGAGATAAAATCATCTCAAGAATCCCTTGATATTCACGGATGTACATCAAAATTGAATTTGCTACTGTTAGAATGTATAGACCAATATTGCATTTATTGAAACACTGATAAAGAGGCAAATACCAAATTTTTAAAAGGTAATTTCCACCTGCTAGTTCTTTTTTCCTCTGCTCTAAAGATTGAGTGATTCGGTGGTTTATTAATGGGCCCAGAATAGAAAACAACTCTCAGAATTCCCTAGAGTCATCTGAAATTCAAGCCATTAACATAGTATTCTACATCTTATGCACAGAAACCCAGTGAGGCAACCCTAATATGCACACACAATGCTGAATGTTTCTTTCTTCTTTCCAACCTTATAAAGACTGAATGTTGGACCTAGACAATTCTATTGTCAAGATCTTAAGAGCTTAGGAACCCATAAGAAGTATAAAAATTCATAGTAATAAATTAAATAAGGACTGTCAATACATCCAGCTAGTAACTGAGGGGAAGAAAGAAGAAACTAAGTTCAAAACCAGATGAGTGAGTTTCTCTGTTGCCTAAATGCCTTTTGAGGTACTCGTTTTCTGCACAGCTTACAACTGCAATTAGCATGGAGCTGGTGAAAACTTAAAATTCTCATTAGGTGTCACTCACAAAATTTTTCCCTAAATTTCAGTATTTATATATGTATAAATAAACCTATAAATTAATAATATTAAATAAAATACGCATAGCTAAACATAGCTAAATAAAGCATACGTAGCCTCAGTCATTAGCATCTCTGATTGGCTGAAGTCAGCAGGCTTGGCTGTTCACACCTACATTAAGAAAGCTCACAGTGGCATTAAGTAATGATTAATTATCATTAAAGGAAATTCAGGACTGTATTCCAATTGTTTACACTCCGGTGAAAGAAATGCCTGCTTTTACTCAGTTTCTTTTGAAATGTTTCATTATAGAAAAATGGGAATTCTGAGACTGAGCATTCAGTTGCTTATGGTATTTCAAGATTTTATTTATTTCTAATCTGACAATTTATGAAAGTAAAAGGAAATCATTATCTTTTGAAGGCTTGAGGGGTTTTGTATAGACAATTTTTAATCTATCTGGGAGAAATCAATGAGCATCTAAGCTTCCCCTTTTTAGCTTCTCTTGGCTGTTTAAATATTAATAGACAAGAGATTGACCTTCAATCCTGCTGCTGAATCATGGAATCAATATGTCTTTGTGCTAACGACTAACTGATCACAGATTGGAAAATTGTCTGCTCAATTTGCATAGTGCCAAATGCTTGATTTAATTTTTTCTGTGTTAAAGTCATTCTACAATACAGTAAGCAACTTTAAGCACTTAGAAATCAGTTGTAGATCTTACTTAAAATTGGTGTTAAACTGGGAGCTAGAAACTCAGATCTACAAACACCATTAGTCCAGTCCAGTTAAACCTCAGCACTTCTGCCAAAGTCAGTGAGGCTACCCACAGGCTCAAGGCTGGGCATATTCATATTTCTTCTGAATGAGGTACTGCTGGATTGTAAGAACTGAGAATTTTGTTATTCCAGAGTGCTAACTAGCGCTGGCTTTCTTTTCTTTCACAGAGATATGGATATGGTGGATGGGTACAGCTGGATCATCACTGCAAGGTTTGGGCTGTTTAGTGCTCTACACTGAACTTGTGTTGTCATCAGGAATACAGATTCACCGTAAATCTGTTAAAAAGCAAAGTGGTAATAAGACTGGCTATATTTTTTATACAGATTTCTATAGAGGTCTATCTTCTATGAAGCAATATCACTCCAAGTCCTGATACACCTCAGCAGAACTTTTTGCTTGAGAGACAAAATTCATATTCTCTTGTGTGAACCAGTATCCATTTTTCATGACAATCTCATTTTAACACTTGGAATGGATAGCTCTAAGGAATTCTCTCCAATAAGATAGGTCGACCTAAAGCAGATTACATGCAGACTTCTTTTTAGATAAATAGCAGTCATCTGTATGAGAAACAAAGCCAAAAGGAACTCGTGTTTTAATGAAAGTTAAAGAAGATGTGAAAATGTCTTCACATGTGAGTGAAAGGGAAAGTGTAATTTCTGTAACTTCATGACAAGGAGAACAAGTAGCAGAACAATAAGGACAATCATAGATACAGGCACCACTATGAGGATCAGTAGGAGCGTAAGGTTTATTGGCAATTAAAAGGCAGTCTAGGTCTCATTTTACTTCACATTTTTATCCCCAAACACTCTATTAACTTTGCAAAGGCACTTCTGAGCTACATTAGTACAACTGAACAACAGGTCTCTAGATGCCATGAGTCCATGCTAACATTCAGAATTGCAGGTACTGAAGTTAGCAGAATACACATATTTACTCTGATGGGGAGAGGACTGGTTTCTTAAAGGTTTAGTTCTGATCTCACTCAGAGTAGAGCAAATTAGCAGTTAATATCAGTGACATTCACAGTGATACAACAATGTACAGCTTCTGAAAGCAAGATCAAAATGTTGCAGTTTATCTTTTCATAAGAGCATTACAAAATTATCAGTTGTAGTGGTTTTTTTTACAGGAAGGCACAAGGACCTAAAAGACGTAAGACTGATATAGCAAAATATTTCCCTTTGTACTTTAGTAAGTAGGTTAACTGTACCAGCTTGTTTTACAGATGTCACCTCTGTTACCATGTAATAACTTCGGCAGTCTGATATCCCTGCCAGTTTCACTGTCACAGGAAGACAGCTTCCACCCGTGACCTGTCAGCTCCCTGCTCCTAGGAATCTTTGGGAGACCCTGTCACTGCAAATGGCACTTGCCTCTGGAGAAAGGGAGATCAGAAAGATGGCATTGAAAAGAGCTCTCAGGAAACCTCAGTTTACTTTCCACCTCACTTCATATGTACTTGTCCTAACTGAAAAACTTCATCTGTAATTGTCTACCACAAGAACAT